CCTCAGCCTCCTGAATGCTGGGATTATAGGTGTGAGGCACCACATCCAGCATCCAGATATTTTAATTTCTTACTCAGGACATTTTCAGGAGAAACTCAGTGGCCTGACTGCCAATAAAGGATTAAAAAAAAAACTAATTAAAAATAGTCCAATAATGGGGCCAGGGATTTAGCTCAGTGGTTCCACTACCTGCCTCACAAGCACAAGGCCCCAGTGCGTGTGTGTGTGTGTGTGTGTGTGTGTGTGTGTGTGTGTGTGTCTCCAGCGCCACAATCTACCATGATTGTTTAATAAAAGGCTACTTTAACATTCAAAACGTAAGAAGCACTTAATCTTAGAAGAGTGTTCCTATATTTTGTTAGTTTGATGAAGACCACCTTAAAGTCTTTACTTTTGTCATTTTTTCTCATTCTGGTGAAACATTGTCATAACCCAGCCTCAGAGCAGGGATTGTGTCTTGACCCACTCACTGGCCTGTCAGCCTGTTTTGCTGAGGTTAGAGGATTAAACTATGACTCAGCCAGCATGAAAACAAGGCAGGAGTCCATGCTGGGTTTGGCTTAAATAGCGTGGCTTTTGATAGAAGGGCATGTATGTGTTTGGGTTTGCCATGCTGGGCAAGGAAATAGTGGAATTTGTATGAGTTAAGCTCACACATTGAAGTTATTGAGTGACTTACACACAAGGCCATGACCTAGACTCCCAGCTGAGAGACTCACTTGGTGGGGCTTGAGCTGGGGAAGCGGAGGACAGCTCACATCTGCTCATCTGCTTATGTAACCCTGCTTCCCAGATCCTAGAGCCAAGAAAACACACAAGCCAGCCCAGCAGGGCTGAGGACTTGTGGTAGCAGACGCCATGTGCCGCACAGCAAGATTGCCTTGGCCTAGCCTGAGGATTGTCACAAAGCCCTCAGCTCTTTGTATCTTCTTGCATGTCCCTGGAGCCCCAGGCAGTGACTTTGAGACCTGGTAATCAGGTCTGCATGATTCTGAACAGTGCTGATCATTGCCCTCCTGGAATGTGAGCTCTCTGGATTTTTTCACCGAGACTGAGCTTGGTGTATAGTAGAGGTCAGCCTCTGCATTGTGGCAGGAAGTGTGCAGGGCACTCTTAGAGGCCTCCCGGCTGGCGCTGGACCCATGAAGACATTCACTTCTAGATTTGGTTCTGCATGAAGCTCTTCAGTCTCAGTGGTATAAGCTGCAGGATTCCTGGAGTTGTGGAGGCTTTGGACAGAGGATGGGGAAGTATGAGCAGAGAGGGCCGAACTGGACGTCAGCTGTGCGCCATGTTAGAGGCATGATGGGGCTTGAGAGAGGGCTGAGAGGAGAATAGGTGAGAAGAAGCTGTTTAGTGATCAAGCTCTGCACAGAGTCATTGGAGGAGCAGTGGTGAACCAGGGTGATTTTTATTTATATTGTGCTGTGTGCTTAGCATAGAGCACCAAGGAAGCAGGAATTGTCTTGTATATTCTTCCTCCCTCAACCCAAACCTCTTGGGCTGGCACAGTGGGCTATTGGTTGGTACCCAGAAGGTATTGATTGAAATAGATTGAAAGTGGTTTTGATACATCATAGGGAGTGTTTGCATTATACAAACATTTTACAATAAAAACTCTGGTTTTATATTTGGTAGACTCCCATGGATTGTCAGGGAAGGCACAATAGAGAGAGACAGAGCGAGAAATAGCTTGGGTTGGAGAAAAAGGTTGGGAAATGGAAGATGGACAATTCATGTATCAACTCCCTTTACTGGGTGTGCAGCAGAGTGAGTTGCTGAGGGACCCATGCAAGAACCATGTGAGGGTAGAGGTTAGGCTGTAGGTGCAGATGACACATAATTAGCTATGTCCTGTCTCTCCATGGCTCCATGACTAGGAGCAAAATGGGGGAAAGAGACAGAAGTTTGTGTCCTAGAGATGAAGATAAGACCTACATGGGTAAGAATGAGAAGGGGGAGTGTCTAGGGACAGTAAGAAGAGATGATGGCAAAGATGGACATCAAGGAAAGAGGCTGAGACTACATAAGTAGTAGGTAGGCACTTTGGTGGGTGTGGTGTTTGGTGATCAGGTCTGTTTTCTACCTCTCCCATCCAGGGCACTCATTTCCTATCTTCTTGGTGATTCTTGTCCTCTTGGGCAGGGAACAATTTTCAGATCTTTGTTTGGGTTCTTGTTCTCTTTCTAGGTTACCGAGTATCTCTGGGCATGCCAGAGCTTTGTGAAGACTTAGAGTTCATCCAGTCAAATCTTTGCAATTTATAACTGAACCAGTAATCTGAGAGTGGATGGCGCTTGTTCAAGGATCATCCAGCAAATCACTGGTGCAGCTGGACCAGGACCTAAGCACCCCTCTTGTGTGGGGCTCTTTACCTCAGGACCACTGTTCTATAACCTGTGCAGAGAAAACACCTGGACACTATCCAGCCTGCAGGTGTCTGCCCCAGGAGGCTGGGCAGGCCACATGTGATTCCTCTCTTCTGGGCTGGTTTCAGAAGGTATGAGTGAGTATTAGGGTAGCAGTCCAGATGCTTCTTAGGTTCCCGAAAATGAGGTTATGTTTAGTAATATCTTCAGAACAAAAGATAGGCTGGGTTGCAGATATTGAGGGACCCTTTTAAGTGAGAAAGGCCTAGTGATGGATCTTCTTTGCTTCTTTTTCATGAGTTCATTCTATGATGGAGCCTCCCAGAGGTCTTTGCCAGGATGGGAAATTGAACAACCTATGCCAGATGGACCTTGTAGGAAAGGGTGGAAATAGTGGCAACCCCTAAGGACTCTTATTGCCTGAAAGCTTCAAGGCTTGTGAAAATGAGCCATTCAGCTCCCTCTTGCCCAGTTAGAATCATCTTTGCCAGTAATGGTGAACCTACAGCATGCATATCACAATGGGTTGTTTATTTAATTAAAAGCTCTAAAGGGTTCACCATCACTGACTAGACCTTGGTAATTATCTACCTAAGTCCTTCCCAAGATCTACTAAGTTGGATTTTCTAGGGAAGGGACCTGAGAGTTTATATTTCAGTTGTCCTAAGAGATTCTTACGTTAGGGGAAAACTGGGCCAGGATGACCACTAATTTAGTCCTGGATCATATTTCCTGCTCCTCTGAGGGCAGCCTAGAAGGTTGGAGCTGAGTCAGCAGTAGCAGTCCCATGGGAGACTAATCTTTGAGATCCCTGGTCTCCAGGAGAGAGGACTTGACTAGGGAGACAGCAAGACTGTTGCAGTTTTGAGGATCTTCTCAGCCTTAGAGTTGTGCTGCCTGAATTCTGTGGTGATGAAGCCTAATTGAGGCCTGTCTCATAAAAAAGTTTCCTGATTAAAGGAGAGAAAGAAGGGCATTTCTAGCAAAGGGAAAGGTGGACATAAGCATGGTTAATAGGAGTGGAGACAGGCAGGCAGATGACTAGAGGGCCTTGTTGCCTAGTTGGGGGATTTGGTCTTACCTTTTTAAGACCATACAGCCTTAAGCTGTGGGATACTTTTAGTGCAAAAGTAAACTAATTAGAGCTGTGTCTCAGAAGAAAACGAACTAATGGGAACAGGTCTTGTGATGATGGAACTGTGTTACTGATGGTGGGGAGTGGTTGTGGTATGGAGTGAGGAGTGTTATGAGGAAAGGAAGGGAGGCGGCAGCTGCCAAACTGCACCTGCTGTCAGGAAGGAGGACAAGGCTATTTTGTTTCAGGAGGGTGAGTGATCCCTGGGCACATAGAGTACATGAGGAGCCACATGCTTTTGCTCAGTGGGGCCTGCACACTGGGCTTAGTTAGGGGTGAGTGGATTTCACCACTGTGTTCCAGATGAACTTTGATCTGAGCTTGTGGTTAGTGTTCTCACCTATTCTGTAGGTTTCTTTGTTCTAAGAGCTAGTTTGCTTCACAGGTGAATCTGGTTACACTATAGTAACAGTTCCTAAATGTGTTCTCTGACAAAATAATTCTGTGATCAGGTAAGTTTGGGAAATGGTGAGTTAATAAAGTGAAAGGGGTTTCTTCATTATACTTTTCCAGAAGTAGGATTTAGTATGCAGAGTTCACTCACTGACTTGACCAGGGATTGTTTTTTATCAGCATCTGGGAATCCGTTTTGAGGAAGTCTGAAGAGCAGGGAGTACTCTGAGCCTGAGTTTAAGTCTTGCTTCTGCCTCTGATTTCCTTTGTGTGCCTGGATGACTCCAGGCGTGCTCCATGCCCTGTGAAGGACTTTGACCTTTTCCCTCTATTCCTAACCTATTGCTACCTCAGCATCTATCACCTCATCAGTTTTTCTTCTGAGCCAGGAATTCTGTGACTCATTTCTGTGATCTGAATCCATGTTCTTCCAGGCCAGAAACTTATGAAGCCATCACTGACCCCTTTTCATCCCCCTAGTTACTGTTACTCCTCCAGTTATTAAGCATTCTTTGATATTCTTCCCAGTAGTTTCTTTTTTCTCTTCTAGTGTCCATTACCTTCATCCCTCCCCATCCAAATTGGTTCACCTCTACATCAGCTCTCTTACTCTCCACTACATTATAATTTGAAGCTGATTCTCTCCACACTGACCTCCACACACACACCTTTCCCTATTTAGGATTGCTTCTGTCCTTTGTACAAGACCACACAGTTGGCAAGTGGCAGAGCTCAGTCCCAACCTAAGGATTTATGAGAAAGTCCTTTCTCATCTATGATCACTCATCCTTACAACAGCCTGTCAGGAAGTCTGAGCAGGAATTGTTTCTATTATACAGAGGAATCAGGGTGGGGAGGGGGTCCTGGGCTGGAAGTGCTTCAGAGGGTAGCCAGCCACCTGGATTTGCCTCGCACTGAGGGGTTTCCTGAGATGATTGATCACCCTGCTGCTGGACAGGGTACCTGGTGCTGTACATGAGCATGCCTTCTGTGTCCACACAGCCTCCCAAGAGGAGATGTCTCCTCTGGCCTGATCATCTGATTTAGTCTGTGGAGTGTGCATCCTGTGGCTTCCTAACTTCTCTTTTCCTCTACCTCTCTAGTTGGCCCCATGATGATCGAATTTAATATTCCTGTGGATCTGGAGCTTTTGGCAAAGCAGAACCCAGGGATAAAGATGGGTGGCCGTTACACTCCCAAAAACTGCATCTCTCCTCACAAGGTGGCCATCATTATTCCATTCCGCAACCGACAGGAGCACCTCAAGTACTGGCTGTATTACTTGCACCCAATTTTACAGCGCCAGCAGTTGGACTATGGTATTTATGTTATCAACCAGGTGAGGTTTGGGAAGATGGATTGAGGGGGAGGGAGAATATGTATGTGCAAATGTGTGTATAATGAGTGCTGGGGGAGGGGAGTGCTTTTGTAGACTTGATGATTTAAAACAAGCAGCTGCTCTATCACCCCTGTCATCTTTAATTTAAACAGTGCAGTTGAATTATAAGCCAAACAATGTGCTTGCTCATTGCTATCAGCTCTGTTAGTCAAGGGAAATTGCTGGTGTGTGTGTGTGTGTGTGTGTGTGTGTGTGTGTGTGTGTGTGTTTTGGAAGTAGCTTTCCAGCAAAAGACAACTCTGGTTGTCTCAAAATAAAGCACTGATTATTTCCTATATTTGGGTAGCAGTGGATTTTCCTTTTTTACTTTGAAAGACAAAACTGCCCATTGGATGTCAGACTTTTAGGCAACTTCAAATTTATCTAGTCACAGTATTTTCCAGGGTGCCCATAGAAGACAGTGTGCTGAGTTGAGGTTGCATGCCAATCCCTGGTGAAGTGTCTGGGGACGTCTGATTCCAGAACATTTGAGAGTCATGTAGACTGGATGAGTCTAAGAAAAGTTTCTCACTGTACATATGATCTATGTGTGTTTTCATCTTTAGACCTATTTAGGACACTAATGCTGAAGACAGATCAGCCCTCATCACCAAGTCTGGAGTTTATCCCAAACACTTCAACTCATGTCTTTGGACTGCAACCTCTTATATGCAAAGACATTTTTTTGAAGAGACAGAGTATGCTTGTGTACAAAGTCAATTTCATTTCAAGAGAAATGCTGGGTCTTTTTCAGGGAGTAAGATTGTTGGTGGCTTACTGCTTCCATCAATGTTGAGTGTCTTTGTGTACCTTTTTTAGACTACAAGGGAAAGTGGAAACAGCATTCTGTCCATCCAGCATTTCTGAGGACTCTGTGTGGGGCACTGTATCAGTAATACAAGGAGATTCTGAAGAAGTGTAAGGTCTCACTCCTACCTGTCCTAAACCCACTTTTAGCACCCCGCTTTTGGCAAGTAAGACTTTCCCAGTCAACACTGTTGTCACCAGTCCCAAATAGCATATGATTGGATGGTGGCTGTGAAATGCTTTGGAAACTGAGGAGAAGGAACGGTGACTTGGAAGAACTAGGATATAAAGTAGATTCTAAAGATTGGGAGAGAGATGGGCCTCTCATCTGGGGCCAGTGAATGAGGATATCAAGGAAGGAAGGAGCCTGCATGTTCTTGGAGATGGAAATCTCCAGTGGTGAAGTAGGAAAGCACCAGAAGCCCTGGGATCAGGCATTGGAGCTGAACCTGTCAGCCAGAGGACAGAACAGACCCTGTTACAAGGTCTGTTAGAAAAGTAGTGGTGAGTAAATCCCTTGAGGCTGTTAGCCAAGTGAGGTACAGATCAGGGTCCTGTGAACACTTGCAAGCAAGACAGTTATGCATTGTCTTTGGAAGAATATTAGAGAATGAAAGAGTGAACAGGTAAAGGTCCTACAAAATACACTTCAAGTATTTGCTTAAGAAAAGTCTTGTCTTTGGTAAATACTTGTCTAATGCCATTGAGCTTATATTGATCTTAACAAGATTCAGGAGCCTGTTGTTATTAAAGCAGTGGCACTGAGCACCTAGAAGAGGAAGCCACTCAGGGCCCAGCAAGGATTACTAGGAACAACCATGCCAGCTGTATCTTGTTTCTCTCTCATGGTTATTATGCTAGTAACTGGGTAATACACTATAGGCACAATATCGTCAGATCTGATACCCCTCCCCCATCTGCCAGCACAGAAGATAGACAACTGTGATCTGGTTGGTATAGTTACTAAAGTGTGTACTTCATAAAGAGGGTAAAAGAAACTGGATTCCATTCTGCAGTGGAATTTCCTGTAATCTCAGCAGGAGACAGGAGGATTACAATTCAAGCCCAGTAAGACCCTGCCTAAAAATAAAAAAGGGAGGGGACAGGAATGGAGCTAAGTTGAAGGCCCTGGGTTCAGTCCCCAGTACTGGGGGACTGGTATGGGCAGGGGAGTAAAAGAGTTAGTGATAATGCTGAAATTTTGAGTTCAGGTAGCCACAGTTAAGGAATACTGGAAAGGAAGATGTTAATTTATAGCTATGTTGAATTTTAGGTGAATGTGAGACTTGTTTTTGAAGTCAAAACAAATATTGGACCAGTAAAATTTAAGCAGCTTAAAAATTTCTATAATATAGTTTACACAGATATTCCCTAGGCTTAAAATAACAGAGTTATGAATATTTTATACTGGCTGTACAATCCTGCCTACCCCAAATACATAACCAAGCCAACATGGATCAGTGGCACCATTGTGCTGGTGAACACCAGACACTGCTTAAGAGCTGTACCCCCTACCCCCACTTTGAGATTAGAGCAAGAGAGCGCTAAATAAGAGTGTCCTGTGAGACATCTAGTCCAAGAGTTCCTAGATGTGTTTGACCAAGGGGCACTGTGACCTGCTGAAGGGTTTCCTAGCTTGTCTAACCAGAGAACTGTTTTCCAAGAAGCATCTCATGTGATCAGTGTTCTGTGAATTACATTTTGGTAACACAGGCCTAAATTAACACCCCCTCCCTCCTTCCTCCTTACTTTTTGTGATATAGTAGGAACTCACTTTTTTTCTTCACTCCCTCTCTTTTCTCACTTGCAACTTAGCATCCGAAATATTTTATTTTTAGGACCTAGGGATATAGGTCAGTACTAGAGTGCTTGCCTAACATGATGGGGCCCTTGGTTTGATCTCCAGCACCAGTCAATTAGTCAAATAAAATTTGCATCTTTTCCTAGTCTTGTATCATTTGCTCCTCCCTCTATACCTTTCTCCTTCTTCTTTTCTTCCTCCTCCATGTATTAACTTCTACCTTAGGAGAATCTTTTTCTTCCTCTTCCCCAGCTGATTTTCCACCTCTGTTCCAACTCCACCCAGATTATCCTTTTGAAATAGTAAGATAGACAAGTCAGGAAGTAGTTTGAAGTTTGCCCTACCTTTTCAGTAAAGAGTATGACGCAAGGAAGTGGTTATAGGAACTTGAACCTTGCAGGGTTGGGGAGTGCCCCCTCTATAGCACACCCATTTACACATGAGGAATTTCCTGTCTTCTCTGCTTTATGGTTATATCCCAGATGAGGAAAACAGATTTTCTTACACCTAGCTTTGACTTGCTCATTATGTATTCAACAAACAAACCTTAAAGGGCTAGATTCTGTGTATTTTGACTCTTCTCTTCCACTCCCCTATCTCTTTCTGCCCCATTGAAATGCTGTACAATCCCCCATTTACAGCAGGTCACAGTAATGCTGTTGTCCTTGAAGTGGGGGCCATGCCCATCACCATCTCCTTAGCTTCCCCTTCAGTGTTTACCCAGACTTCAGAGGCCAGACAGTGAAAGTTTCCACTCAGTGTCATAGGTGAGGAAACAAGCTCAGAGAAGCAAAATGGCCAGTAGAGAATCATCTATATATATAATTAACAGCTGAGCTACAGATCAAACCCCAGACCCTGACTCCCAAGTTTACTGTCCTCTCCTTGCATCAACAGTTGCTCTCTTGGAGGCCATTCAGGCTCTCCCTGGGTGTTTTGTCAAAGCCTGGTATCCAAGGTTGCAAGTTATTTCCACCTGGATATTCTGACCACCTACGTTCAGCCCTGGCTCTGCCACTTTGTAGTCAGTGACCTTAAGCAAGCAATTTAAGCTCTTCAGACCTCACTTTCCTTAGTGGTAAATAGGAGGGGAAGCGGGTTAGTGTTTACCTTTTAGGGCAGCGAAGCACCTGGCAAGTGATAAATCATTAGTAAATATTAGCTGTTACCGCTATGATTTGCGTCTTTCCTCTCCACCCTCTATTGTTCCTGCCCGGTACCAATCTGATAAATTCTTATTGCTTTCCCTGCCTCCTGCTTCACTCAAACTCAGTACCAGCATCAGGACGTTTCTTCCCAGTTGTGACATTCATGGGGTCAAAGGGTACTGAGTACTGGTGTGAGTCAGGTCATGAAGCTCAGAGGACTCAGATACAAGTAGGTGCCTTCAGGAGGCTTATCTCTCAAGCCACACACAGGAGTGACCTTTCATAAGTTTTATAGCTTATGTTTCTGTCCATAGAAAGCTGTTAATTCACCTTGTTTGGTGTGGGATCCTCCAAACACCATGGAAACTGTCTCAAAATAAAGGTGTTGAAGGGGTGAGTGAGAGAGCTTTTTCCAGTTGAGATGGATAAGAGCAAGCTGGCTCTTTTGTCTTTATGATCTCCATCCCTTCTGCTTTAGCAGGAGATCTTTGGGACCCAGCACATCCTATTCTTGGAGCCAAGGATACTGTTCTGAAACATGGACATCCTACCTTAAGTTTCTCACCAGGACCCTGATTTGGAGGTGGATGTCAAGTGCTAACAGGGAATGCACACTCTACTCCCTCATAGTGGATGAAACAGGGAGTGTACATTGTATCCCTCACAGTTTATCAGGAATGGAAACTGTACAGCCCAAAGTTAAGGGAAGGCAGGTTGTCACCTGTCAGCACTAGCCCAGAAATGAAACGCAGGCACAGTATTAACCATCATAAAAATTACAGGATGTGAGGAAAGCAGCCACATCTGGCTAAGAGGTATGTCATAACCATGGTAGCCCTTTGCTCCAGAGACCCAGTTATGTAGATGTACCTTCTGGTGCCTCTGGTCTCCTTACTCAGCTATCCAAGTTCTTTGTAGATCTGATGATATCACTTGCTCTCTTTAAACCCTTGAGCATTTCACCACTCTGTGCAGCCAAGGGTCTAAATGATCTGAAGTCTTGAGCTTGGGATCTGAGGACATATTGTCTGGCCCCAGTCTACCTCTAGCCACCCCTTTTCTTCCCCCTTCACACATTGTGTGCTACAGACACTCGGGACCTTTATCCTCACTCAGATATGTGTCCTCCCTTTATTGTACCCTTGCTATGCTGTTCCCTCTGTCTGCATGCCTCCCCCAGTGACTCTTCCTGAACATCTTTTAAC